TAACGACGTAATCAAAAGAAATTGTAAATAATATTTTTTTAATAATTATATATTAGATATATAATAATATATATTAATTTTTCTAAATCATATTTAATAATTTCTCTTATTTAAAGTTAAAAAAAATAATTTTGGTATCAATTAAAAAATTACCAAGGGTTAACTTGAAACTTTTCAACTGTAGTGTATTTTTGTTACATTTTTTTTTTATTTTTCTTACATTTTTCACAAATTTATATTTTAAAAGGATCGAGATAAGAAAACGGTTCACTTAAGGCCAACGAAGAAATGTAAACACAAACACTAAACACAAACACTAAACACTTGAACGAAAGAATTATTTATAGGCAAACTTAAACTAATTCTTTGAAAAAGATACCGTTTGATACCAAGCATATTATCTACATATATTGTCATCTTTGATAATGGCTTATGTAACCTGAAAGTTTAGATTGGATTAAAACATATGTATCAATATTGTGATTTTCTTTCTTCGTTTAATGATAATGTTATTAAGCTTATCAGACGTTACAAAAAGAATTTACATAAAATAAATCGACAACACTTGTCTATTATTTAATGAAACATGTATGAATATATATATATATATATATATATATATATATGTGTGTGTGTGTGTGTGTGTCTGTGTGTCTGTGTGTCTGTGTTTATATATGTGTATGTGTGTGCGTGTGGGTGTTGTAGCATACCTACGGACGATAATGGGTATGTCAACTTTCGCATAAATACAGTTTGTAAATACTCTATGTTAATCTGCCGTTGGAGATTCGTTTCCAGCTGGGCTGGTCAAAGTCTCTGCCTCCAGGCTGAGAGTATCCACAGACGAGGCTATGTCGAACGGCAGAGTCTCGTCTCGGAATACAGGTACCCGACCCATTTTTATCCGGGGTCTACGGGGAATTTTTGGCCGAGCCTACAGGCTCGGATACCCCACATGAAATTCGGCCTTGTGCCACATCTGACTGCGTGGGGCGGTTGATAGATATCTTGCAGTCGGAGATTCATTGTGAAATTCACTTGACTCACTTCTAGTAGTTGACTACTTCTATACGCCTATAGCGAATCTTATATGTGTTGTTCTTGTCCTAAGTATTATCGTTCATTACCAACCTTCGTTTGATTATTCTGTTCAGTAACCTTCCCTAGGATACAAAAATATGTGAGATGGATTTTGGTTGAATAATATTGACAAGTACTGTCTATCAAGTATTTTAATAAATTTTTGGTTTTATATAAGAAAATTTATCAAAATTCATATTTATTTTATATTATTTTTTTCCAGAGTACTTTTTAATGTTACTATATCCATTTTCAAGGAATGTGATTTGTATATGAAATAGGGTAAATAATCTAGATAAAGTTTGAAGAAATACGACAAATGGAAATCCGTTTCATTGAAACTAGATTACTTCATGCGTTTCGACTTCTCTAGACTTCATCAGATCAAAAACAAAATAAATAAATATGTCTGTGTGTGTTTGTGTACATGCTTAAATAATAAATTTTGTTTTATGTATGTTTACGTAACTTTTTTTCGTTAATTCCATCGTTCTCACGTTTGTTGAAACCAATTTCAAGTCACTCAAGGTAGCGTCATTTGAACGGTCAAACTTGAATTTTTATGTTAATTATTTTCTGGGGGCGTCTTCAGAACAATTCTGATCAAATCTCTGTAAGCATTCGACAACATTAAATCAGTCGTTCCTCTTCGTGACAGCTCCGCTCACGTCAATTCATCACCCATTCTGAATTATTATTTATAAGTTTTCTTACGGAAGTAGTTCGAAGTATGACGATAAACTACATCCGGCAGCAAGGCCTCTGATCGAAAGATTGGAGGTATTGAGGAGCGTGAAATGACCTCTTAATTGCAGTTGTTCCCAGATCCACCCAGACCCGGGGTGGTAGCACCAGTTAGGGTCCCAGCTATTGGCAAATAGTGAACCCTTAAACACTATGTTTGTATAAAAATAAATTTTTATAACAAAAATATCAGGAATAAATTTTATATAGTAAAATGACCAATAATATTTATTAATAACAAAATGATTAGAGAATAGTGACAGAACCAATGGAGTTCCTGCTCAGAAAATAAACTGTTTAAAATTAAACCAAGTATAAGAGAATGGTATCAGAAACGTCAAACTAGAAGGAAAGTGATTATGCTCAGGTTCCATATTGGACATACTGCCATAATCCATTCGTATATCCTAAAAAAGTTTCTTCCTGGGTAAGACGATAAACTATATCCAGCAGCAAGGCCTCTGATCAGAAGGTTTTGGTGATCGTGGAACCACCTCTTAATTGATGGTTTTCCCAGGTCCACCCTGAGTCAGGGTGATAGCACCTGCTAGGGTCCCAGCTATGGGCAAATAGTTAACTATTACCAGCAATACATTTTGGAAAAAGTAATACCAGCAATACAATTTTGAAGGAACAATATTACCAGAAACAAATTTTTGATGAAACAAAATATTACTAGCAATAAAAATGTTGTCGACACTAAATAACCCATTGAGGTTGATATGCCGTAAAACAAAATAAACCAACCAAATCTAAACCAAAGAATACATATTCTATTCATACGAATCTATCCTAAAAATGTTGTCGGCATTAAATAACTCATTGAGGTTGATATGCCGTTAAACAAAATAAACCAAACCAATCTAAACCGAAAAATACATATTCTATTCATACGAACCTATCCTAAAAATGTTGTCGGCATTAAATAACCCATTGAGGTTGATATGCCGTAAAACAAAATAAACCATACCAATCTAAACCAAAAATACATATTCTATTCATACGAATCTCTCCTAAAAATGTTGTCGGCATTAAATAACCCATTTAAGTTGATATGCCATATAACAAAATAAACCAAACCTAAACAAAGGAAGAACATCCGGGATGTGTGGCACGTCTAGTGCCATTCACCATAAAACACATAAGGACAAACTTTGATCCGCTTAAAATATTACCAAAAAACAAACTAAAAAGATTTTTTTCAGATTATTGGTTCATTTTACATATTCCAGTTTCCAAAAAATAAATAAATAAAGTAAACTTATTTCCAAAATATAATTAAAAGGGAAAAATACTGTCATAAGTCACAGTATTCTTACTATATAAAATAAAAAGAAAATGTTTAAATACAAGATTTTATTTAGAAAAAAATTAAATTTCTGCATTAAAAGAGCCAATGTGTAGATAGGCTGTAAAACAAACTAAAACCAAAGTTAAGGAGGTGATGATGACTTCACGGTTAACAGCACGGAATCAGTGAGCCGTGTTGAAATGTTGACCTCACCAACAAACTTTCAGGAGGTTTCTCCATGTTTATTACAGGCTGTCATGCGTTTGCGACAGATAAGCGATCAGTCGTGAGCTTTTAATGTTTTAAGGTAAAGACAGCCGTGCGTATTACTGATTCGAGATTAAACTAGGAGCTTATATAAAGCAGCCCAGCTAAATGCGTGTCTGGTAGGAAGTGGTTGGAGTTCAGTTTATTTTATTTATTTACTAAAGTTCATTCAGTACATGACTCAAGAGTGATCAATGGTAGAGAGTTACTGAATGAGGAGATAAAAGGAAGTGATGATGGTGACGAAAAGAAGGACTTAGTCATTCGTTTTTTGTTTTTTTTTTTTGTTTTTTTTTAAGCATTTCACCCCAAGCAAGGCGGGAAGCCACTAGGACGCAAGGGGTTACAGAAAATTTAGAGCAAGATCAGATAGGAGTGATAGAAGAAAGGATGAGGGTAGTAGACAGATTAAGGCAACTGGAGATTTCGATTGACATTACACTTGAATAGCTGGAGATTATAGCTCACAGGGAAACAGGAGAAGGGAAGGGAGTTCCACAGGCGAGAGGTGCGAGACATGAAGCTATTAGAGTAGAAGAGACGGCCACATTTAGGAGTTTCGACAGTGAAGGGATGAGAGCGGGATGCCAGCCTCGTAGGGCGCTGGAAGTCATGACGTCTGGGAACCAGCGAATGCAGCTCCTCGGAGCAATTTCCATGAAAGTATTTGTAGAACAGACAGAGGGAGGCGACGGCGCGTCTGTGAGAAAGTGACTGTAGACGAGACGTTTATAATAGCTTTTAATCATTTAACTATTTTTTTACGGCGATGATCACCCTTTACAATGCCCGGATCCACTCGACTTAAAGGATGGGGGGGAGCATTTGTGTGTATAGGAGTGGAAGATAAAAGGTTAAGATTGTAGTGATCGGGGAAACATCCTGTTGGGGGTCGGTTCCACAGAGCAGTGGTTCGCGGGAAGAACCTGCTTACTTCTTATCGATGGAATAGGAATGTTAGTGATTTACTACTATGTAAGTAGCATGGCGTGTTCTTGCTGTGAAGATTTGCTTCGGCGGGACCAAGGAATGTAGTTCACCTGAGCACTTTCCGTTGAATTAGCGCTAAAGCAGCGAGAAGCTCGCCGAATCCTACGTGTGGGAGATGGATTGGAGGGTAGAAAATAATTTTACTAGGATTGGGGATAATTCCTGGTTGATGTTCTTAAGGACGTGTACTGGAATTTTGTCTGGACCAGTGGATTTCTTAGGGTCAAGGCCTTTGATAGGTCGAGAGACTTCTCGTGCTGTGATGGCAATACTACCTCTGCTCGGTGACACAGGTGAAATTGGAGAGAGGATGGTCTTTGTCATCTAAACTTTAGATGCAAAGATGGAGGCTCAGAGGTTCGCCTTATCTGTCGTGAAGGATATGACCTGGGACCATTTATAACTGTGGACGCAACCGCTTTACTTTTGTTCATGATTTGGTTGGTGATCTCCCAGAATTCACGGAATCATAATAATTAACCAATTGCTGGGGGAAGAATAGGTGGATTCATACCTCTCCCAACTCTATTTACACGTAAGTGAATATAACAAACCCAACTGAAATTGGAACTGGGCTCTCCGATAACAATTCTGAGCCATTATCCATGACACAACCCGAACATCTGAGCTTACTGCACATAGTATTCCCAAGCGGTCACTCATCTAGTACTGACCAGGCTCAATGTTGCTTAACTTTGGTAATCATATGAAACCGGTGTTTCAATGTGATATGGCTGTAAGCACCTGGTATTCCCAAGCGGTCACTCATCTAGGTACTGACCAGGCTCGATGTTGCTTAACTTTGGTAATCATATGGAACCGGTGTTTCAATGTGATATGGCTGTAAGCACCTGGTATTCCCAAGCGGTCACTCATCTAGGTACTGACCAGGCTCGATATTGCTTAACTTTGGTGATCATATGGAACCGGCATTTCAATGTGATATGTGTGTAAGCACCTGGTATTCCCAAGCGGTCACTCATGTAGGTACTGACCAGGTTCGACGTGGTTTAACTTCCTTGGTCGTACAAGAAACATGTTTCAAAGTGATATGACCGTAAGCCAGGATAGTGGTTGACATTGTCCCGAAGAGGATAACATTATAATGTCCAGGGAAACATGTGCGCGGAAGTTTGTTGCATAAATATATGACACATTCGACGGAGGAGGGGCGCATTCAACAAAAAAAAAAAAAAAAAACATCAAAAATTGCTTTTTTTTCACTGCAAATTATTCATTATATCATCTCCAAGTATTTTACAAAATATAAGAGCCGATTATACAATATTTCAAGCTCAATTTAGGTCCATATCGCATAGCCAAATAACATAAACCGTAGATTTATCTGCAAAATATCATTACATTATTGTTACATACTTATAGTGAAATCATTAAGGTTTTTCATCAAAACCATTTTAATTTCTGTCGTATATTAATTTATAATATTCCTTTTTACAGGCTTTATTCTGAAAATCGAAAACGATCAGTCTAAATTTCATTATTGCCCATCAAATGCTACATATTTTTCGTTAATAATATTTCTCTAATATTCAGGCCGGTAGACGAAAATAAATAAATATATTGTTTAATAAATAAAAGGAACGTCTACTCAAATATGGTATCCGCTAAAAATAACGTTTAAAGTGATAAAATCTGTCAGATTAACAAATAAAAAATCCATTACAACTTTAAAAAATTGTACACATCACGTTTATATTTATGTACCTCTAACTTCAAAGCACAATATATTTAATACCCTCACATAAAATTTTGTCTTATGACATGTAAGTCGAATATCTGGAGGTTATTATGTCTTCAATCAATATTTCTTCACCTCACATAAAGATTTGCATTATGACATGTAAATTGAACCGCTACAAGCTATTATTTTTTCAATCAATATTTATTATCCTCAGAGGAAAATGTATATTATGACATGTAAATTGGAGATCTGCTAGCTATTATGTCTTCAATCAATATTTAATACTCTGTCAAAAAATTTTGCATTATGATATGTAAGTTGAATATCTGCAAGTTATTATGTTTTCAATCAATATTTCTTAGCCTCACATAAAAATGTGCACTATGGCATGTAAATTGAACATCTGCAAGCTATTATGTCTTCAATCAAGACTAAATTATAGGTGTTTTCAATTTAATACAAATTCAAGCACCAATGTTATCAGACCGTATATCAAGGCTGGTGATTGCCAGTCCTCAATACCCAGCCTCAAGAGATTTCAGAGGCGATTACATGACTTTGTGGTTGATGGATTGTTATTTTCCATACAACCGTTAAACAACGTTGCATGATTCTCATAATTCTACCGTTATTACTATGGCAAATTTTACAACGAATTATGTTCCTTAGTCCGACCAGCTGGGATCTTTGCATCTAAAAACAACTATGCCATGTTTATGGTGGAAAAATGATCCCCCGTTACCTTTATTCTCCTTTGTTAAGGAATACGTTCCACTTTGAATACTTCATCTCCAGAACTTTTATTTTAGGGAACAGACTCACCAGAAAATGTTTAATATGACACCTACAGCTTTAATTTCTTCGAGTCCCAGGTCAACCGATTTCACTCCTACATATTCACATATAATTTACTTTTCTCTACCTCCTTTCTACGCCCTCAGAACAATATTACTAAGTTTCCAAATTACCTTGATAGACAAGTTTTGGACCACGTGTTTTGTGGTAAAAGTATATATATATATATATATATATATATATATATATATATATATATATATATATATATATATATATATATTTGTTGCCATATTCACGACTATTTGGGCGTTAGGAACACCCCAGCATTCGTCATTTTGTTTGGAATTTCGAACTGGACTCTATATTTCCTTCACCAAGGTCTAAATTCCAATCACCTGAAGAACGCCGGAGTGTACAATGTTAGAAATGTTGTGAACATGGCAAAAAAGATGAGAGCAACAGTCCGGACAATGTAAATAATTATAATAACTTATCTCAGAAATATAGACAGATATTGACGTAAATCTGTAGTGACTTTTTTTTAATCATTTCACCCCAAACAAAGCGATAATGTCTCTAAGACGCAAGGAGTTACTGGGAGTGAAAGTGAATGAGAAGACATTAGTGAGGTAAGTAGGGAGAAAGGAAAGAAATGAACAGGAATTAAGAAAGAAGATGCCAAAACATTGAAGTTTTGAATCTTTGATTTCAAATATAAAGATTTGTTAGCTCATGGAATATTTTGATTTTTAATTTCCATCTTTGCCACAAAGCTTCTACGCGATTGGTTGCTGGCTGTGTAAAAATATAATGGTGGTAATGAAAGTGTTTGGCCGCTCGTATCTGAGTATGTCTGTCTGTTAGGGTGCTTTGCCAATCCCTGCAAATATAATAATACTGCCCAAATAATCACATAATATACATTTATACAGGATGCAATAGATTAATTGTCGTCTAAATTACGCAAAATGAAAATAACACTGACATCTCATTTTAACAGATATATTTACCAAAATCGAAAAATAATATCTTGAAATGCTAAAGAGTAGATTTATTCAGTAAAATCGACATTGGTTTCAACCACGGCCTCCAGATGATTTCGGGATCTCCTGCAGGTATTCCGGACTCTCTCTCTTTGTTTAAGTTGGTGAATGCTGCCATAATCCTTGCCTTCAGTTCAAACTTGGTGTTACAAGTCTTTTTATTGTTCACTCGCTCAACTAAGCTTGACACATAATAATCAATGAGGCTGCAGTATGGGTAGTTAAGTGACCAGATATAAGGGGTGCTGTGATCGCAGAAATTGTCTGAAAGCCATGAATGGTGTGTCCTGATTGTGTGGCATGGTGCAGAGTCCTGTTGCTAGACATAGGGTCTTTTAGCAACCACCTTCTTCACCCAGGGCAGCACTACCTCCTCAAGGCATTTGATATATGCCTCCGTGTTGAGGCTGATGTCCTGTGCGAAGATGAAGGCATAACGTCGCCATTACTAGTGTTCACTCCAAACCCCATGATGCTCAATAGATATATCACTCAACTTTTTCCGAGGTCTCTGACCTCTCCTCATATTGAGACTCGAACACTCTGAAATGTTCGTATTGTGGTTTCCGGTGCGAATGTCAAGTAGTACAGAATGCCGTTTCCAAATTTCTAGTGGCAGGAATTGTGTCATGGAGCTATTTTTTCCCATAGAAAGTTTTCAGATGACCCTACTATAGGGTGTAGTCTGTAAAATTAAAAAAACAAAAAACAAAAACAACGCGCATGCGCCAAATTATAAATGAAAATGGCGACAATATACCTATAGCACACTTTATACTGCTTACTGGAAACTGTTACGATGATCAATCGTTAATATATTTATTCTGGCTACCTTTTTAGTATCAGAGAAATACTCGAAGTGATGTCCATTACCTGTGTGGTCAACTAACAAGAGTATATCGCTTAGAAGGTTAATCAAGCACAAATCCATAACCTAATCAAAATTCAACTTACTGAGCCTGTGATAATCTTGTAGGTTTGTTATTTCACCATTACCGCCCAGTAATATTCTTCTTAAACCTATGTATAAAATTAACCTACGAATGTGTTGTTAGCAGTAATAATGTGTGGTTAATGTTTGCTTGTATAAATGAAAAAAGGCTTTTCTTTTGCTGTTTTTGTTTTTACATTTATTTGTGTCAAACCATCTTTCTCATGTGGCAAAATATCGAATTTATGAGTCATTTATCACCTAAAGTATGTAATTATTTTTCATTTTGTACATTTTCACAAAGTTCTTTTTTAAAAACTTCGTGTTTTCAGCTAAGAAACAAAACCTGTTTATCAATACAAGCACGAAACATGTAACTGAAAATCTTTGGATCAGATCAAAATAGAGAAATTAATTCTTTCGAAAAGGAAATCGTTTGACAAAAATATATATATATATATATATATATATATATATATATATATATATATATAATCCTTTCAGCACAAGCAAGGCTACAGCATGCAGTAGGTTACAGAGAGTGAAAATGAGAGAAAAAACTGCGTATACGATGGATTAAAGTTAAACGGGGTTCAATAAGATAGAAGATGGCGATTGACGTTGCCTTTAAATTCATGAAGTTTGTAATTCTCAGGGAAGCAAGGAAACGGAAGGGAGTTTCACAGGCAGGACTTGCGAGGAAAGAAACTGTTGGAGTAGAAGTACATTTAACTAATTCAACGGGCACCAGGGAACAGTAGCCATTTTTAGGAAAGACAGAGGGAAGAGAGTATATGGGAATGTGACTGAAGTTTAGATGCCAATTTAGAATCAATTACATTGGCGATCTTTCTTTGGATTTTGTCAAGAAACTCAAGAAGTGCAGCAGGAGCACCTGATAAGATATGTCAACACTATTCACTTCAAGGATGAATGATAGATTTGTAAATGTACAAGATGGACTCTGAAGAGGAAAGATTTCTGACCTCTGAAGCGAAAAGATTTCTGACCTCTGAAGAGGAAAGATTTCTGACCTCTGAAGAGGAAAGATTTCTGACCTCTGAAGCGAAATGATTTCTGACACGAAACAGTGACCCAGTATTCCTTGCAATAGTTGCAACTATTGATTCGATGTAGTCGTTCCACTTCAAGAAAGCGCGGTGTGTTGATCTCCATGCTTCTAGCATCAACCATTTCGATTAAGGGCTGGAAAGTTTCTCTATGACGGAGAATCATAGAGCAGATTCATTTTGAAGGCATTAAATT